TGAGACTGGAGCTTTGACGACACTCTTCTCCACTCTGATTCAGTACTCGGTACTTTTCCTTCCTGTCCTGGGTCCGTGTAACTGAGGAGTCTTTCATTCATGGATTCGGTGTTTCTCTAGGTTTAACTTCTTGCTTAGTCTGAAGTGTTAAATGATTATTATTTCCATTATGGCTCACTGTTTGTTTAATGGACTACTCAGACATATCATAGCTCACCACTGTCCAATTCAACTCCATTTTACACAGTAAAAATAGAAAATTTAAGTCATTTCCCTATAGCTTGTAAGTCATGGAGCTGGGTTTTAAATCTAGACAGTATGGGTTTGTTTCTTACATTACACTGTTACTTGCTGGTTGTTGTTATTATAACTATTGTTATTATTATTTTAGTTTCTGCTTTGACTAAATCTCATCTTTAAAATAATAGTTCACTTGATATATTATAGGTGCCTTTCCATTGGATCTAGAATTTATTTTCTCTTAAAGTGAGAAGCACTGTGTTTTTTTTCCATTTTAAACATTTAATCGGTTTTTTTTGTTTTTGTTTTTGTTTTTTGGCATACAATTCAGTGGCATTGATTACATTCACAACACTGTGCAACCAACCCCAGTCTCTATTTCTATAACTTTTTTTTGCCCCAAACAGAAATTGTAACCATTAAACAATACTTCCTCATTCCCTCCTTCTCCCTGCCCCTGGTGCCTTCTAATCTACTTTCGGCCTCTATGAATTTGCCTATTCTAGATATTTTATATACGTGGAATCATACAATATTTGTACTTTTGTGTCTGGTTTATTTCACTTAGCGTGTTTTCAAGGTTATAAATATATATTCCATGATGTAGCATATATCAGTACTTCATCCCTTCTCATGGCCAAGTAATATTCCACTATATGAATATACCTTCTTTTTTTTTGTTAATTACTCTGTTGATAGACAGCCAGGTTATTAGAAGTATTATTTTTTTATACAGACACATAAAAACCTATTTATATTGCCTTTTTCCCAATTATCTTTAATCATAATCATTTTTCTAGAAGCCCTCGCCAGTAGTCTAGGAGTAGTTTTTGTTCACTAAATTACAAGGCAGAAGGTATAGCTCCATGATGTATGTCATGTTACTGGTAAGTAATAAGACAATAATATTTCTAAATGAAGTAAAATAATAATGCAAGCCAAACTATATATCTGTCTAGCTGAAGCTCTTCTTTTTAATGTTGGGGTGATTTTTGTTGCTGTTTTATTGTAATAAAATAGGTAACATAAAATTTGCCATAGAACGATTTTAAGTGTACATTTCAGTGACATTAAATGTATTCATTCATATTGGTGAAGAACCCTTTAATTTCACAACTAGATACCAGATGTAAAACTATCTTTTAGGCTTTCTTGGTATCACAAAAGGTAGGTGAAACCTCCAGAGACTCTCCAGACCCACCCCACATAATGTAGAGTAAAGATAAATAAGCAAATAAACAAAAGCTTTTTCCAGGGACTTTCTTGGGCAAGACACCAGGATTATGGGCAGGAATCACTGGAGACTCAGAGGCTCAGGAACCAAGAAGCCAAGGCCTAACTCATGGGATTCTGAGGGGAACCTGAACCAACAAAGAGGGGAAGAGTAAAATCAAGCATTACCTCCCAGGTATAGACAACCAAACCCAAAGAAAAGTAAGCCACAATGCATGGGCATCAACAGGAAAACAGATTTGGGCCCTCAAGGGCTGTGGAGGTTGGAACTGTCAGATACAATGAAGAAGAGCTACCTATGAGGTATTTAGTTTTATGAACAAAATGAAGGCTACACTCACAGAAAAGGAAATTACCAGGAATAAAAAGAAAAAAATTTAACTCATACTTTTGGAAACAAAAATGTAAGTGTTGAAATCAAAAACTAAATGAATGAGCAACAAGTGATTAGATGTGGTTAAAGAGAAAATTAGGAAACTGGAAGCTATATTTGAAGAATTTATTCTGCCTGCTGCCAAAAAGAGGTGCAGATGATAGAAATTATAAAAGAAGGATCAAAATATGTGGAGGCTAGATTAAAGAAGGCCTAACATGTGCCATATAGTAATCCTAGAATTTAAAAGAAAAACTAGAAAGACTAAAGAAAAGGCTGTATTTAAAGAGATAATGGCAGGTGCAAATTATCCAGAACTGATGAAAAACATGATTCCACAGATCTAACATATCCTAAGCAGGATAGGTATCAATATTCCCACAACTGGAAATATCAGTGAATCTGTGAAACATAGACCAAGAAAATGGAAACTCAAACTTATCCAGAGAGATGATTAAAGGAATGGCAGGACAACACCAGACTTCTCAATGACTACAATGGAAGTCGGGAGACAGCGGAATAGTATTTTTAAACACTGTGAAAATGTCAGACTAGAATTATACATCTAGAAAAATTACCACACAAGAATAAGTAGGAGTTAAATCATCTGCTTAGAAAACAAGAAAGCAACTGAGATCATTTAACACCAAGTGATTCACTCTGAAGGATTACCAAAAGGATATACTTCAAGAAGGAAACATATCCTAGAAAGATGGTCTGAAATATGAGAAAGAATGGTAAACTAATTAAAAGGCAAAAATGTTGGTAAATCCAAATATTCTTTCTTTATCTCTCTCTCTTTCTTTCTTTCCCTCTTTCTAAGTTTTTGGGTGTGTATATACACATACATATACGTAGACATACACAGACACATACAAACACACACACACATATATTTATATTTATATATAATATCTACAAATACATGAAGTATCTGTATTGTGGGGTTAAAAGATAGGTATAAAATATTAAGTAGTAATCTAAACAGGGAAGAGGGAAGTCTACTGTATTCTCGAGTCCTTTAATATTTGACAAGAGGGGGTCAAATTATTTTACTATAACACTAGTAAGCTGAACATGTACAGTAAAAATTTAAAGGAAACATTAAAGAATATAAATAAAGTATTTAAATTCACCACCAGTAGGAAGAGAAAGTGGAACAAAGGGAAACAATGCAAATGAACACATATATACAAACTCAAATTTTAAAAATCAGGAATCGGGGAAGCAGGACTAAGAGAAAACAAAAAGTAGTATGGCACAAATAAGTCCAAATTTATCAATAATAAACATAATTATTAATGGTCTAATTTACCACATAAAAGAAATTAGATTGTCAGATTGCATTAATAAGCAAAATCCAGCAATAAGTGGTTTTCAAAAGACATACCTGAAGCATAAGCACACAGAAAGTTGAAAATAAAGGAATGGAAAAATGATAAAGGAGGAGAATACTAATTAAAAGAGTCGATGTAGTATGTTAATATCAGAAAAGTGGAGTTTAGTCAAAAAGCACTGACAGAGATTATTTCATAAAGATAAAATTTTAAATTCACCAAGAATGATATGGATGATTCTCTCATACACTGCTGGTGGAAGTAAAAATTGAAATAACCATATTGGGTTTGTTTAAAAATCAAATACATATCCCATGGTTCAGCAAATCGCCCCTACATATATATTCAGGAGAAACATTTATACCTGTGTCCCAGGAGATTTAGTCCTCAAGCCCTAATTAGAATAACAAAAAACTAGAAACAATCCAAATGCTTTATGATAGAAAAGAACAAATAAATCATGGCATGTTAACATAATGGACTATTGTAGAGCTTTGAAAATGAATGTGAACAATAGCTATTTTATTCAACAACATGGGTGAATCAGCATAATATTGAGGAGAAAAAAGCAAGTATGAGAAGACAACACATAGTAATGTTATTTTCATAATTATTTAAGAAGCAAAACTGCAATCATACATACCTATATAAGTCCTAAAATTAAAATAAAAGGCAAAAAGTTCTTAGGATTCTGTTTGCTCAGGATGGGGAAACACATGGGTCATTGTAAGGAGGGCCAGTGGGTTACACCACCCTAATGGCAGCATGCCCTTAGAAGCCAATGCTGCAGCTCAGTAGCCCTAGAAAGAAGCTATTGGCAATGATGAAATTTAGAGAAACTATGGTGGATTCATGGATAGTATGATTTTATATTATTCACATATTTAAAAATAAAGAGAGGCATGCATGGACCAAAGCTGAACATATGTCATAATTCAAATATTATAATTAAGCAATGACAGTAACTGAGGTCCAATTTAAAAAAACAAAACGGAACAGACCAAACGGAACAGACCAGTTGTTTGCACCAAATCACTAATTCCTTGAGTTAATCGAGGTCCATCTGGCTCAGTCTACCTCTCCCACCTCACCCCTCCTTCCAGTCTCCTGTTTGTTCTGCTGCTGTCACCCTGGCTTCCCTACAGAAACCCAAAGAGGTCCAGCTCTCCCCCGTCTCAGGCCCTTTGCACATGCTGTTGTTCACTGCCTGGAGTATTCTACCCATGGCTCCTGGCAGGCTTACCCATGCTCCTCCCTGGGGTCTCAGCTTCCTTGTTCCCTTCCAGGCCAAAGCAAGTTTCCTGTGAAAGTCTCTGTCAGAGCATTCCACTTTTCCTCTTCGTTGTATGTCACACAGTTTGAAATTACGTGTCTATTTTTTGCATTTTTTTCTCCTCTCTTGCATATACTGTAAGCTCCTCAAGCATAAGGACTATGTGCGTTCAAACTCACCACTGCAGCCCTATTGCCCAGAACAGGGTCTGACACACATTTAAATGAGCAAGAACAAAGTCGAAGGAGTGAAGAGGATTTTGGAAAGTCTAGAAAACAAAGGATCAGCCATCATCTGCAATCACAAAAATTCCTCTTCTCTATGAGCATTATTCATCTAATTCCCATGATGTATGAAGAACTTCCAAAACAATGTTATATGATCATTTTGATAGCAAACATTCTTGTTTTTTTCTGGAGTTCACTCTTTCAGAGCATGCTGGATTTTGTTTTAAGACTTGTTAAAGATGATTACTCCTATTTCCATTTCTGAAGTGATTTTGTTAACAGTGGGGGTTACTGCCTCACACATCATCCTCCTATCTGTGAGTACAGAATTGTTCCAGAACAACAGGAGCCCAAGAAAGTATGGATTGTCTTCCACTCCCCTTTAGGCAGCATTGACTTACCATGATGGCCTTGATGCACTCAAGGTAGGAGGTTCTCTTCACACAGGTGACATGAGGGCCAGCCTCAGGTAGGATTTTTTCCATACTGTCACGGAAACTGGAGCACTTACTGGCCTCATGATTTGAGATGGTGCACCACCTCACAGTTTTATCGGGGACAGCCAGACAAAGCCCTAGGAAAGAAAGGGCAGAGGTCCCTGTGCCAGTGGGAGAGACAGAAGCACCCTCTGCAGGGACTTGAAGGCTACATCCCCTTTGTCCTGTCCTCCCACTCCTGCCCTTGAACAATGAAGAGTACAGGTTCCACTGCATTCTAGGGTGGGAACAAGAGAAGGGAACTCTAATGACCTCCCAGTTTCCTGCTTGCTGGCCAAATGGATGCTGGCTTGACCTTCTGCTCTCAATTGGAGACCACGATCTGTTCTTCTGTGTTCTTCGTGCCCCTTTCCCTCACTATCATGGGACTGCAGAGGAACATAAGCCTCATCAATGTGACAGGGTAATCTCGGCCACCTCAAGTCATCGGCTTAATACCACAACTCGTGGAAGCCAACAAAATTACCATTTTTACAAGAGGAAGGACTCTGCTCAGAAAGTGATTCTTACTGGCATAGAAACCACATCTCCAGACTTTGGTCTCTGCCCAGGAAACAAAAGAAAATAACATTCTGAATTACTTACATCTGCTTGGCCAGTAGATGGGGATAAATGACTGATGATATGATGAATTTGCCTGTGACACTTTTCTGTCATTCTCTATTCTAGGAATAACTAGAAACTACAAGTATTCATTGGTTCTCTCTGTTTCCAATGACCCTCCATTTTCACTAGTTTTTCTTTTCTTTTTCTTTTTCCTCCCTCCCTCCCTCCCTCTCAGTCCATCCTAGCTCTGCCTCAAAGCCACACAGGACAGATGGCCACTCCATAAGGCTTAACTGTGCACCTAGTAGGTGCTGAATGTCGCAGGAGGAGGCGGAAAACACAGGTGATGGGGCACCTGTGCCTTCACACACACACACGCTCGCAT